GTGCGCAGACCTCCGGCTGACGTCACGGCCACCAGTATGAGGTTTCCCGGCAGGACTGGCTGGTCTTCGCTGTACTGGAGCTTCTCTTTGACCAGAGCCAGAATCTCTCCAACCCGGCAGGACAGACGGCTCCTGATGGTGACGTAGGAATGATCCGGAGTGTACACCCTGCAGAAGACTGAACACACACACACACACACACACGATGATGTCAGTGAGTCCTCTGAGAGCGCAGCATCAAAGATGGCTGCAGTCACGTGACATCATGGCTTGTCGTTACTATAGTAACTGCCACTCAAAATGTGGTTACTCATACATGTGTTTCCAAGCACGTCTGTCGACGCTCTGAACACAGTTAGAACTATAAGAACAAACTAAGCAGAGAAACTGAACAGAGGTCACCCTGACTCCCGGCTGTACATTGCTCCGTCATTCTGTGGCGTCCATTCTCCAACATTGGAGGAAAAGTCCAGCTCCATGTAGGAGCTCCATGGCTGCATCCAGCAGCTTTCTCTCTTCTCTGAACATTTTAAGCATCTCTCTCAGTCCTGATCAGCTGATCAGCTTAGTCTGTTTTCCATGACACAGGTCTCACACGAAAAACTGGTGTAAAGTAAAAAGTAAACACGTTACGGGACCAAAGCGCTCAATGGCAGCACGCGGTCGAGGCATTTCTTAGTCTTAAATAAGATGTAATAGAGAGATTAAACACGTCTTCCTCTGTTATAATAAACTGAGATTAGGAAACAGGACCTACAGAAAAGCAAAAACAGGCATTTTGTCCAGTGACGCAACACAAGATAGTTGTTGCCTGAGAAATCCATGAAGCCTTCCACAGACAGAGTGCGAGCGATCCGTCTTCTCCCAGCGTGCGCTTCGGGTGAGAGCCTGCTGACGTCCCCGCAGCGCGGCATCTCCACCGCGTAACCACGCTTCTTCATATCCTCCGCCGCTTCTGATGACTCTGGTACAGGCGTGGACCGCTCTCCAATCAGTTCTCAGTTTAGCTGGGCGCGGTGTCTGGAAATGTTTTGTTCTTTGTTCTTCTTAATGTCCTTGTGTTCTTTGAGCTTGTTGTGAGTCTCAGTCGGTACGTCGTGTAAATGTGACAGTTTTGCCCTCGTAAGAAACGTTCTCAGCCCGAGCTGCTCTCAGGATTTTGTCTTTTCTGGCACAGCTCTGAAAACTAGACCTGGTAATTGCTGTGCGTCGCGGCTTTGGTCCCAGTGATCGGTGAGCGCGCTGAATCTGCAAATCCTCATCTTCAGGAAGGACAAGTTCTTTCTTTATGAAGTTCCTAATGAATGCCATCACATCATTCCCCTCAGCAGCTTCTTTAATTCCATACATACGGAGATTGTTCCTCTTCCTTCAGGTCCGTGACGTTGGTCTGCAGAGTTTTCTGCTGGTCCAGACAGTTAGCGCATCTCTCAGCTCCACTGTCTCAAGTTCGTTCACACGTCGTTCTGCTTCAGTTAACCTCGTGGCGTGATGACGGATATCCACGATGACATTGTGTGACATCTCGGCCTTCAGGTTATTCAGATCTTCTTTGATTTCTTTCCTCGTCTCTCGCATGTTATCAACTTTTGTACTGTTAGCCATTGTTAGCTCGTTGTCCTCGCTTTGCTCCGCGTTCCTCTTTGTGCCTTGTTGTCGTCGGCGTCTTTTGCTTCTCCGTAAGTTTTGGAGCCCCCCCGTGTCTTTTTACATCTGCCTCCACCCATTGTATATCATCGTCAGTATGAACACGTCTATTACATCGAGTTTGTGTGTTTACGTCGTCCGCTCACCGGGCGACTTAAAGTGACTTTTCTGCAACCAGCAAGTTGTTTTTTGACTGGAAATGACACAAGTGCCTCCCAAAAGGAAACGAGATGATGTGCAAGAGGCATTATTGTGGGAAAATTGCTCAGCTTTTATTTACATTTGAGCAAAAAGTGTCAGCATCATTCCTACCCTCTCAAACTGCCACAATCTCTGGGAAAATCCAAACTTCTGTCCAAATAGTCCGAGCTGTCGTAAAGCCTCCTAATATTATTAAAAAAATACAAGATGTTCCACACTGTGGAACATCTCACAGGACGTGGTCGGGAACCCAAAGTGACACCTGTGCTGGGCAGGAGGACGGCGAGGGGGTGAAAAAGTCCAAGGATCACCACCGAGGCCATCCTGGTGAATCTGGGCCTGCTGGTGGAAATGTCTCAGGGCAGACCGTCCAACGGACGCTGCACGCTGCTGGGGTCCAAGGAGACCAAGGAGGACGGTGCTCCTCCTGATGAGGCACACAAAAGCTCGCTCGGCCTTCAAATGCTTCTGGTCGTCTGTGTTTTGATGAAACAAAAATTGAATTGTTTGGTCACAATGATGTTTCCTTCATTCGGCGTGAAAAAGTAGAAGCCTTCAACCCAAAGAACGCCGCCCCCGCTGTCTAACACGGTGATGGGAACCTAATGCTGCGGCTGTTTTTCAGCCAGTGGACCAGGGAACCAATCACAGTGAACGGCACCATGAAAAACAGATCCATGAAGATTCAATGACACCAGGCAGTCTGCAGAGGAACGTGGCCTTGGACACAACAATGACCCAAAACACAGCAAACGTGCTGAATAAACGTTAGCAGACAACACTAACGTGTTGCAGCGGCTCAGCCAGAGTCCTGAATCCAACTGAGAATCTGTGGAGGGAGCAAAAGACCAGGGTGATGGCAAGAGGACCCTCCAAACTGAAGGATTTGGAGCTCATTGCAAAAGATGAGTGGGCAAAAATACCTGTGGAGACGTGCAAAAAGCTGCTCTGCAAGAACAGGAAGCGTTTGATTGCTGTAAAAGCCAATAAAGCTTTTTCTATTGATCATTGAGAAGGGTGTGAACAATTCTGACACTTTTTGCTCAAATGTATAAAAACGCTGATCATTTTCCCACAATAATGCTTCTTGTACATCATCTTCTTATCTTTCGGGAGACACTTGTGTCATTTTGTATCAGTTGGGACAAATTACATGTAAAGAGGGAAAAAACAACTTGCTGGTTGAATAAAAGTAACTTTAAGTCAAAATTTGCCAGAAGTATGACTGCAGGACACGCACAGACACACACACACAGACACACACACGCAGCACCCTGCTGTTTTTGCTGTCCTGATGCTGTGCGTGTGTGTGTTCTGGGTGTGTCGCTGTGTGATTTGTTTACCCCTGCCACAGACTGCAGGTGTATTTGCATTCAAACTCTGTGTGTGTTTACAGATTACACCGCTTTTGTGTTTGTGTGCGTGCGAGGGCGTCGTACTCTCGTCGGAGCCTCTGAAGGCCTCTCTGGGCTGCAGGCAGGCGTCGATGCGTCTGAAGTGTCTGAACAGAGGGCGCACCTGCTTCTTCCTGCTCTCCTTCTCCTCGTCAGAGCTGCTCGCAGAGCAAACACACGTCCAATAAATCCAAACAACAATTACACAGAAACTGAGAGTAATTCACAGAAAATATAACAAATCGATAAAATAAATTATTACAGTAAATATTTAGCAGAGTATAAAAATGATTAATAAAAAGTGTTTCATTGTTTAAGCTGTGAGAGTGCGATCAATAGAAACGTTAATGATGATAATAATATGATAACTGTGTGCGTCACGATGGAGCGCCGCAGCAATAAAGAAACCTCGTGAACGTCAACATCCAGAAATCAACACATGATAAGCGTGCTGTGTGCAGACTGTACACAGATTACTGCGCTCTGATTGGTCAGGTTTAGGTCACACGGGGCTAGAGACCAGCCTGTAACCCTGCATGAAACTGGCTGCAAACACGGTCACCTAAAAACCCCTGATGGACTCAGAC